ACTCCTGCAACGTATGTGCAAGCTCATAAATATATTATTGGTCAGACAATATACATATACATAAATTATAAATGTACATCACATGATATCACAGGTGATATCTTGGGTGGTATCTCGGGTGATATCACAGGTTGGCTCATCAAGATGAAAACTCGAGGTTTTTTTTTAGCGCACTGGAAAGAAAAAAAACACATTGGATCTAGAGTCCAGACTCTTAAAAACATCGACAAGAAAAAATACTCTTGATTCAATCAGATTTAGGCTTAAATCAAGAACCAAGCCTCTTAATTTGAGCGGATTTCCTTTTGATTTCAGCTCAAATCTGATTGAATCAAGAGTCCTTTTTCTTGTCAATGTTTTCAAGAGTCTGGACTCTAGATACAATGTGTTTTTTTTTTCCAGTGCTCCCTTGAATCATCCAGAAAGTCTAGGTTTCTTTCTTCATCAAAATGAAAACTCGAGGTTTTTCAGCTCCCTCGAATCATCCAGAAAGTTACATCTAAGGTAATTCCTTCCACTTTATCGCATGTAGCATCGAAGAATCGATACGCCGATGTGAATAATTCACCTGACATTCTTTTCGGATAATGCAATTACTCCGTCGAGAGAGCGCGTGGGGATCTTTTTGATGATTGGTTCCGGTTCCCGGGTGGTCGTGCGTGCTGCCGAGCCCCGGAAAAACCACGGATCCACGCATGGTTCCCGCAGCAGTTACGCGGTTCCTGAATTACGCGGAAGCGTGGGTCACGATGGGGGCTTCGACCTGCTCCGATGTGATGCATTGCTTCCAACCGACGAAAATTTAATTTGCGCGGATAAATTGAATTCCGCCGCCTGGTCTTGTCCTGAGCTTCGGAGGTTACCAGCTCGACCCGTAAGGCGACGTGCGAGGAGATGTGCGAAGTCGGTTGCGTTGCGAAGCTGCGTCCCTCTGATATGATAATAATCCATGACTGTTGTCTACGGACGGTTCATAATTCAGACGGTGAAACGGCAGAAAAACGTATCTCTCCACACGTGAAATTGCGCACTTCGCCGTTTTCCGCATTCAGGAATGTCGTGCTACATTCCGAAGTTGCAGAATTGACTCGAATAACTCAATGTGCAGAACGCACATTTCCCTGAAAGCCTAAAGCGTTGCATGCTGTTACAATTGTATTAAGTACACAGTTGTTACATGTTCTTCTCCATCTTAAGGCTTATTCTGCTCTCCTGTGTCACATCTGGACTACACCTTGCAACCAGGAACTACAATTTCTAGGTCAGCTTACACTGGGGAAAAAAACACATTTGATCCAGAGTCCAGACTCTTGAAAACATTGACATGAAAAAAATACTCTTGATCCAATCGGATTTATGCTTGACTCAAAACGAAATCCGCTTAAATTAAGAGACTTGGTTCTTGATTAAAGCTAGACTCTGATTGAATCAAGAGTATTTTGTCTTGTCAATTTTTTAAGAGTCTAGACTCTGGAACAAGAGACTTTTTCCAGTGTATGCTTTATCTTCACACCTCTGACCAGAGCCGCTGCTGCCCGAATCTTTGTACCTCAAGAATTTGCCCAGGTTCTCGGACCGACAGAAAATATCTGATAGTCCTACACGCTCATCGATCACGCCTTAAAGGCGAAATTGGCGATGGAGGGAGTTTCCAGTTTTTCATGGAGGGATTAATTGAAACAAACTAATTACGCTTCCGCTTCAGAGGACAAGATCAGTTTCAATGATTAATTAACAAGTTTAGAATTCATTAAAGGCTCTCGGGCTAATGGCGCCGCGGAGGAGCCAAGCTAGTTGGCCTCTAATTAAAATAATAATCCGCCGGAGCGTTTCGTGTTGACAACTTAGTGAGATCCTGAGAACTTTAGGAGAGGTCGCCGATGGTTCGACGACTTTGCTCTCGATGTAAATTGCACCGGATAGGATGAACATTCAATAGCTACGGACATTTTTCTCTGATCATAAGTTTGGATCGCTTCGTATGGAAACATTGAAAAAAGCTCCGTATTTGAGAACCAAACTTTTTTGATCACTGAAAAAAAATTCTCGGCGTTTTTACCAAGGTCCGTTGGTACCCTTACCATCTCACTTTTTGTACCAATTATTGACAATTTTACCGAGACAGACCGGTAAGCTTACCTAAAAACCGGTATTTTTACTGTTTTTTTCAGGTAAGAATACCACTTTTATTGGTAATTGATTCCCGGTAACGTTGCCATTTTATCTCGGTAATTCTACCACAGTCAATGAAAAATATTGACGTTTTTACCAAGGTCCAGTAAAATTACCGAGAAAGTTCAATAATTTTCCCGAGATTTCTCGGTAAAATTACCAATTCCATAAATGGTAATTTTACCAGGAAAAGCTGAGATCAAATAGAACCCTGAATTCTTGGTAATTTTACTCTTTTCTCAGTAAGTACACCGAGATTTTTTTCTTAGTGATCTACTATGGATTACTTACAGAAGTTGACGGTCCTGCGCCGCTGATAGACGCAATTTTCTGGAATAAGAATATTACTGCCGTGCTAAGGAAGGACGCCGCATAGTGGATCGAGTCAATCAGACGGGTTGGACATGAAAGTGTCGACTAAAGCTGCAAATTTTGATGTTTAATTTGTCCCTTTTTAAATTTTAAGTGGTGCTTTTAAAATAAATTTTCACGGGGAAACCAATGGGACCACTTCTAAAATCTTCAAGTTTTGATTTACGGAGTTATAAGCTTTTAAAGTGTCTGACCTCTCCCATTGAACGATCCACTGTGCGTCGTATGAGTCGTTGGACGTCGCCAAATTTTCCTCTAAAAACACTACTTTTCTGGAAAAATTGAGAATATTTTTCTTTCTATTTTTAGGAGTATTTTATTCGAAGCCAGTGTGATTTGAGGTATCTGAGAATTACCAGGAGAATAATCTGCATAGTTCCTATCAGCAATGAGCCTTGTTTTACACAGGAATCCATTCTCTCTGGGGCTCATACGGAAATCGAGATACGCTCTTACGTTAGAGGAGCGACGATCTAAGAGTCTTGTACTACTGCACATAAATCTTTTCCAAACTCTGAACGTCCACATGACCTATCTGCTTTTCGCTAACCAGATAATGAGGAAAGGAATCAATTAATCGGTAAGTTTCGAAGGAGCCACGTCAAACATCCAAGTTGATAGACCTCATCAAATATACCCCCGTCCCCTACTAACCTAAGGAAAAACGCCATATGAACCCTCAGGCATCGCCAAATTTTCTATGATAAACGGAAATTTTCCAGTAAATTTAAGAATAATTTTCATCAAATTTTTCAGATAATTTTGTTCGCAATTTCATCCCCAGGCCTTTTCATGGGACGTTTTCATGGGATTTGTCCCAAGTTCGAATCGCAGGAATGAAACTTCTGGGATTTTTTCCAGTTACCGTCTCCACGGGACGAGGCTGATACGGTCTTGCGACTAGTTTGCGCGGGAAGATAAATTAGATAAAATCGAGTATTTAACCGGGATTAAAATAATAATTGCACTCAATTGACAATCAGACACATTATTTTAACTAAACAAACATGAACAATGCAGTAATGAATAAAATATCGCATATTCGTTTTCACTTCTTCTTTCTCACTCAGTGGGTCCAAGGGGTACAAGGATCGTACTTGATACTGCGAGAAATAGTGATTAACTCAATATTTTTCCCAACTTCGTAAGTGGGATTTTTCCCTGGGACAAATCTCGTGAAACGGCTCGTGGAGACAAGGCCGAAAGTTGCACTTTGGATTAACAAAACCGGACTCACATTTTCTATTAATAAACGAAAACTCGTCCTTTGAACTACGGCCAAATGCATCTTTCCCTACTGATGACAGGTGGTCAATGTCGGTATACGTGAAGAGATTTTATACAGAGGGGTTATTCAACTACCTTCCTTATTTTACGAAAAATTACTAAGCTGCTCTCTCTTTCACCGTCATTAGGCGAGGATTAGCGTCAAACGCGAGAGTAACTTACAAGCAGGGAGGAAACTTATACACAGGGTCACTGAATGTGGAATTTTTCTGTGTATAATTATTATTTTAAATAATTGCACTCAGTTAACAATTAGACACTTTATTTTAACTAAACAAACATGAACAATGGAGTAATCAACAAAATATCCCACAATTCGTTTTCGCTTCTTCTTCCTCTCTCAGTGGGTCCTAGGGGTACAAGGATCATACTTGATACTGCGAGAAATAGTGATTAACTCAATATTTTTCCCAACTTCGTAAGTGGGATTTTTCCCTGGGACAAATCCGGTGAAACGACCCGTGGAGACAAGGCCTAAGTTCCTGCAAATTTCAGGGAGAAATCCTCATAAATTTCCTCAAACATAAATATTTTAGGTTGGCTGGATTCATAACTTTATCAGGTGTTTGTTAACTTATTGTTTTACTCCCTTTTTAATCTTCGGTCCTGATTTCTTACTAAAAAAAAGAAGAAAAAAAAGAAAAAAAGAAAAAAACTAGTGAAGGAAATTTGACAACTCTCATGGTCCACACGACGATTTTTCTTAGCATGGTAATACACTCCACCGATTTAACTGCTAAGGAGTCCACGGAGTTCGCCCTGGTCCGAGAGAGGACCGAAACTGGACAGGGGAAACTAGGGGTCCGGATGATCGGGGATGGCCGTGACAGCAATTGCTCTTGTTTGGTTTGTTTTATTAAATCGATTCATCTTCGGCGGTCGGCTCTTGCCTTGTTGATGTTGACACTCCTCAACTAATTCCGCCGCCGCTCTTGCCCGCCGCCGCACAGGGGATCGAGTCAATAAGAGAAAGCGAACAAAATTTGTGAACTTTAAACGCTTATAACTCCGTTTATACGAAACTTCGAGGTTCCAAAAGTGGTTCCATTGGTTTCCTCGTAAAATTGTCTACTAATAGCACCCCATGAAATTCTAAATGTGACGGAATGAACATAAAAATTCCTAGTTTTAGTCAAAAATTTAATGTCCGACCTCTCTACCCAGATAGAACATTTCCTTACGGAAACGTTGCCGCTGAGACTGGCCATAACCTTGCTGCAACAACATTGTCGGGAGGAGGATGCCGTACCCTTCCAGCAACATGACCGTGCTAAGTTCCGAAGGGAAGCCATACTGCGGAAAATGAACAGAAAGGTTACCGCAATGCCGGCGCAGGAACCTCGCGGAATGGTTTTGCTGCAAACCTTTCTGTAACCTTTCCTTGGCAGGTGACACAAGTTTCCACTTCTGCGACCAGGTTGCAGAAACCTTAACGTAATAACCCTTACGGCATCTATTTTTGTCGTAATGATGTCGTAACGTTATCACGACAGAGTTTCGGCAATGCTTATTAAGAAAACCTTACACCAACCTTTTCCCCTCAATGTGAGCGGGAAACCAATGCTTTGAGAACCAATCGGCAACGCTTTTGTAACGTTTCCGAGACGAACTAGCGGAAATGTTTTACCTACAAGGTTGCGATAGCCTTGCCTCGAAAGGTGTGATTCGGCTCCGGTTTACGCAGTAAGGTTTCCGTAACCTTTGTGCGGAAACACTTACGGTAGCTATGTGCAGCGCAACGACAGCGCAACCCTGCTGCAAGAAAGTTCCGTCAATGCTCGTCCAAGAAACGTTACGCCAACCTTACCATGTCAGTGAGGAGTGAAAAGCATTCCTCAAGCGTCGATTTGCAATGCTGGCGCAACGCTTCCGAGACGAACCAGCGGAAATGTTTTACCAACAAGGTTGCGAAAGCCTTTCCTCGAAAGGTGTGATTCGGCTCCGGTTTCCGCGGTAAGGATTCCGTAACCTCTGTGCGGAAACACTTACGGTAGCCATGTGCAGCGCAACGACAGCGCAACCCTGCTGCAAGAAAGTTCCGTCAATGCTCGTCCAAGAAACGTTACGCCAACCTTACCACGTCAGTGAGGAGTGAAAAGTATTCCTCAAGCGTCGATCCGCTATGGTGGCGCAACGCTTCTGAGGTTGCTGCAAGAAAGTTCCGTCAATGCTCGTCCAAGAAACGTTACGCCAACCTTACCATGTCAGTGAGGAGTGAAAAGCATTCCTCAAGCGTCGATTTGCAATGCTGGCGCAACGCTTCCGAGACGAACCAGCGGAAATGTTTTACCAACAAGGTTGCGAAAGCCTTTCCTCGAAAGGTGTGATTCGGCTCCGGTTTCCGCGGTAAGGTTCCCGTAACCTCTATGCGGAAATACTTGCGGTAGCCATGTGCAGGCAATGTGCAGCTAGCAGTATACCTTTTCGTCCTTTGGAAGTGGTTATGGTGATGAGGAGGGGGGAGGGAATATCAATGAATAAAAAATTTGAAATAAATTAGGATTATGTAGGTATTGAATTTTTAAGAAATAAATGGAATATTAGAAATCTACATATTTCTTCTTCGCTGTGTTAAGAATATTTTGTTAAAATGTCAAGCCATATCGTGCTGAGTCGTTTCCCTCCAATAAAATAAAATGGGAGGAACATACGTGGTTCGCAAGTTTCGCCGGTGAAATTCGAAGTGCCCGCGCTGCTCTTTGAATTTCGCGCGGCGCCGGCATTGCGCATGTGCAACGGTTTCGCGCGCGAAGGCTCTAGAAGCGTCGTCGGCGTCTAGAAGACTGAAGAAGTTTGTTTTCGTGGTTCGTGCAACAAGTCGTTCTTACCTGTCTCATTACCCTTCTCAGATTAAATTACTTTTACTTTCACCGAAACGTGAGTTGTGTGCTATACTCGTGGAAAACAAAACAAACCCGTGGAAATGTGACCAACATAGTGCCAAGTGCGTGTTGAAGACTTAGGTTGAAGACCGGCTGCCGCTTAGAAGCAAAGGCAAGTTTTGAAAATTCCAGGAACGCAGAGCAAGCTGCTTCGCAATTGTTTTCTTAAATTGTGTTAGTATCCTTTTGATCTCTATTAATTATTCTTAATTGTATGGTAAATGCAAGTGTTCGTCCATCGGCTGTTTATTGTCTGTAACTGACCTTGTTCAGTCCTGCGGTCCTGCTGACCTGAAGAAGAAAATTTTCTTCTCTTGATCTTTCACCGCTGTGAGTATCATTTCTACTTCATTTCCGATGATGTCATCTTTCGACTGGCCTTTTTGACTAGTAGGGCCCAAATCCTGTTGGCCAGGTAATGTACAACTGAAAGTTGCTAACAGAATGCAATTCGGTACGCCTTGTCTCCACAGGATGTTTCATGAGATTTGTCCTAACTTTGATTGGCAGCAGTGAAGCTTCTGGGCTTCTTCCCTGTTAAACAATGCAATACAATTTCTTCTCCTTCTCTCTGAGTCGCTTTCAGGACCTCTCAAGGACTCTGCCCAGTACTGTGATAGGTATTGATTAACTGAACGTTTTTCCCAACTTCGCAAGTGAGATGGATCGTATTTGATACATCTAATGGGTGAGATTGTATGGATATAGATTGGTTCAAAACAAACATAGCCTCATAAGTCAATTGAGTAATCTGACGGAACGGGTTTTTTATGATATATTTTTCATTCGTATGAGTATGCGTTGGTCTAGAGGAGTAAAATTGCTACGAATTTTCTCATTTATCAGCTTTTCTGACTTCTATCTTGTAATATAAGTTTGAGGGTATGTCCTATTGTTTTGAACCAAATGATGCATCGAACCACTATCAAATACGATCCACTTTTCCCTGGCACAAATCCCATATGACACGCCCTGTGGAGACAAGGCCCTTATGGATTGTTGGTCAATGGTTTGCACTGTTTAGGAACCATGAACAGCTCGACTTTTACAAATAAATCAGCCTTGACTCAAGCACAGTAGATATTTAATGATGCCGGCGGTACAAATGCTAAATGGCCTCAAAAACTCTCCTGCTGAAGCATTTGTTTCAAAGCATTTGATATTAATTTACCCAGTGCTCTAGGTCTACTATTGTCTTACAACTATTTTGGCTTAACATAATTCCTACGTACCTAGACGTAATAACATGGGGAGATCAAAGAAAGGGAAATGCAAAAGTGTCGTGGATGTTAAAAGCCTCAAACATAAAAAGAGATATCTTGTGGCACCGAAGAAAACAACGCAGGACAGTTCAGTGCAGTTTCAGGACACTCAACTGAAAGTTCCGCTCACACACACAACTGACACCATTCAACAACTGGTCATGCCTCCATCGAAAGAAAATGAGGAGCTCAACAACTATGAATTCTATGAAAATGAAATTTCTGCTAGTTCCTTGGATGAGATAAGTTCTGATGCTGAATGTAGCAACATTTTCTACAAGGATATGAATTTCCAGACATTAGAGAGTTTAAATAAAGCAGATAAAAGTTTGGAAGAACTATTCGAGGAGCGGCCTTTGTCAGACACCGATGAAGATGACGATCAATCTGACGAAGCGCATTTTAATTCAAAGCTAACTGAAGAAGAAAAATTGAAAACAGAATTAAGAGACTGGCACAAGAAGTATGCAGTCACCAATGTTGCTCTGTGTGCTCTACTTTTAATTCTGCGTAGTCATTCCTGCTTTTCTAATCTTCCAAAATCAGACAAATCTTTGCTTCATACACCTAGAGACCTGAAGTATGCAGAAATGGGACCCGGTCTGTATTATCATATCGGATTAGTGCGCACCTTAAACCGCGTTTTATCTTTCATCAAGGAAAAAGTGACTCATCTCCGATTAAAAATAGGAATTGACGAAGTACCAATTTTTAAATCTGTTCCAAGTGGAATGATACCAATATTGATTTCTTTCTCGGGTATCCAATCTCTTAGAAAAGTAGTTCTTCCCATTGGTATCTATTATGGGCCTGCGAAAGCGTCAGTGACAAAGTTTCTCAAACCATTCGTTGATGAAGCAACCACGGTGCTTAAAAATGGGTTAGATTTTCAGGGCTCTAAGGTGAAAGTTGAAGTTGACGGTTTTATTTGTGATACGCCCGGCAAAGCTTATATTTTAAATACGAAGGGGCATAGGGGCTACAGCTCTTGTACTAAATGTAAGGCATTTGGAGTGGATTACATGGGCAGAATGACTTTTCCTACGAACGAAAAGATTACCTTGCGCACTCATGATGAATTTTTACAAAACGCAGATGAAGAGTACCGCATGGGTGAAACCCCCCTAACTGATTTACCGGGAATAGATTTTATGCATTCTTTTCCACTGGACACGATGCACATAGTATTTTTGGGCATCGTGAGGGCCATCTTGTACACATGGATTTTTGCGAAACAACCCAAGAAACTCCCATTTTTTTTCATTGACTGTTTCTCAAAAAGCTTACTTTTCTTGAAATCATACATGCCTTGCGAATTTAATCGGAAAGGTCGTTCCATGAACGAAATACGCCGTTGGAAGGCAACCGAGTTCAGAACTTTTCTTTTGTACACTAGCATAATTGCCCTAAAAGATTTGGAAAAAGATTATCCACAACTTTATTTCAATTTTTTAATGCTTCACGTTATCATGAGAATTCTTTTAAGTTCGAATCAAGCTAGACTTTACCGTGAGTATGCGGAGTCTTTAATCGACTCTTTTTCAAGAGATTGTGAGAGATTGTACGGTCAGGAATTTATAACTTCAAATATGCACAATCTGAGGCATTTACCCCTCAATTTGGAGCGCTTCCTTAGTTGTTCTGAGTGTGATGCGTTTCCAATTGAAAATGCTTTGCATTCATTAAAAAAATTGACCCGAAAACCGGCCAAGCCTCTCCAGCAGACTTGTTCAAGATTAGAGGAGTTTATCGCTAATGGGCAGTGGTTCCATAATGCTCCTGATACTCGCGATCCAATGTCATACGAAACTCTCGGTGGACACTTCTGTGGCCCAACTTTGCCTGGTTTCGAGGGTAGACAGTTCAAGGGGCTAAAACTTCCTCGTTTCAAAATCGGTATTACAAATCCTGATTATTGTCTTGCACTAAATGACGGAAGTGTCATTATTGTCAGGAATATAGTAATTCCTCAACAATGTAAAGATCCTGTCATTGTTGGACAAAAATTCAGTTGCTATGAAAATTTTTTTCCAGAGCCTCTGTGCCAAAGTTCAATGTTAGGAATTCATTTAGTTAGTAATCTGGATCCCATCCTCAGGTCATGGCCACTATCCGATATCTCAGATAAACTCGTCTTGTTGCCTTTTCGAAGCAAACATGTGTGCATTCCATTGTTGGATGATGTCTCATAATTTATTTTTAATTGGCCACCCATTTTCAAGGAATCGACAACGTGCTCCTAAATAATTTTAAGTAGCATCATCAGAATTTAATATTCGACAGGTCATGTACTTACATATTTATTTCCATACCATTATTAAGTAACAATTATGGTCGATTTCTAAATGTCAATAAAATGCCAAGTCTTTCCTTCCTTTGTCTTCCTCAAGAGTTCGTTTTTACAGTTATGCCACTCGAAATCTGTGTGGTTTTGTGTGGCAAGCGTTCCTTCCATTTTGAAACTTTTAAGTGTAACCCTTGAGTTTAATATTTTGTACTAAGTAGGAAATATGGAGCCCACACTCTCTCTATGATTGTGTCTGTGAGAGAGGTATTAGGATTTAATATCTTTTAATTTGTAATATCTTTAGGTTGAAGTTTTAGGATCATAACTTGCCATGCACTGTCTGATAACTGCAGCTATTCTTGTTACAGTCTGCTTCTGTTTGGCTTTTTTTTGTCATTGTCCGTGCCTGTTACTCGATCAATATCCTTATTCAGCTCATGTCTCTTTAATTTTGATCCGTATCCGTAATTTTTTTTCAAGACTGCTATGTGCTAATTTAAATGTTGTAGACAAACCCTGAAGTTTGATCAGAAGTGGGTGAAAAGTTATGGGACAAAATCTCAGCTTGTCCAGAGTTAGGGATTTACCTATACAACATGCTAATTGTATCATATTCAATGAAACAATGTTTACTGCTGCATCTCTAGCTGATTTTAATTATTTTGTAATTCTGATTACTTTGTTCGATTGTTTCCTAATGATCTTGATTAGAACTGAGGAGTGTTAAGTTACAATATCCTACGACAGCAGAGGACTGAGGCTCCTGTCTTTTTCCCCCTTTCTTTCTACTTCTCTCCTAAAGTGACTTCTTATAAGCATTTAAATTGCACAATCAGCAAGAGCTCAATCTCATTATATTTTTAACGAATCAAGAAATTCATTGCCATATTGAAGAATTTCAACAATTTCTTTTTCTTTTATAGTTAAATCATGAACATCTGCAGTAGTTGCTAAAGACCATCCTCAACTCTCGTTTTGTTTTCTTTTTCAACTTTCTCAATACTCGTGTACTAGTCAATTATTTTTCTCAGTTGAAGCAAATGTCATGTACTCTGTATGAATTCAATGGCCATCTCAGAAATCAGGACAAGTTAATATTGCTCTTTTTCATTAATTTCCCTTGCAGCTCTTCATTATGACAGAACAAAAATTCGCAATCGTAAAGTTTCCTGATGAAGATGATGCAGTAGATATCATTCCCACAGCCTGGCTCCATGATGATGAACTTTATTGCTATTATCCGAGGGTGAAAACCAATGAGGAAAGAAACAATCTTGTCAGAAGATGTATTGAAGCGGATGAAGAATCATGGGATGTAATCCCTACAGTAGTTCTGGCAAAATTTGGTATGTAAATGATTTAAATGATAATGTTCTCTGTTTACAACCCGTAGAGAATCCTCAATGGAAACAAAAACAAGATGGGAACTGTACACCGCAACTGCAACAGACAGCGGCACTGGGATTGATTGTTAAACAATAAAAAATGGAAAATGAAATAAAAAACAAAAATTACATATAAAATGAAAGGTCAAGTTCATTTCATCCACTTTGACTCGCATTTTTGGAATATCAAATTAAAACTGACTAATTCATGTGGCATATCAACCCTGTAATATTTTCCTCCATTACTAATTCTTTTAATTTTTCTTGTCTAAACCTGAAAGTTTCTTTTGTTTTTTACAGTGAAGTATGAGAACGCTCGAAAAAAACTTCCGATGGCGGAAGTTCAGTCCAACCTAGACGATGATGATGAACACCCACCTAAGAGAGCCAGAAAGAAACGGAAGTTTCTTGGGGAGAGTAGTGAGGATGAATATTGCAATAATGATGATTCTTGTGATGATGATATGGAACCTCAGGCTTCAAAGTTGAATCAAAAGCAAGTAGCCAAGAATGCTCGAATGCCTCGAAGTAGACATGCATATCCATCCAAGAAAATGATCTACCAGAGTTTTCCAGAACCACCAACTGTTGTGCCTGGACTAAAAAAGAACCCAGCCAATGATAGAGAACAGAATGAATCTCAACCACATATTGAGGAAGAAAACACCAGCGAGGACCACTTGTCATCAGAAAGTATGTGAATCTCTTTCTTTTGTTCTTTTTTCCTTCACTAAAAGAGTTGTTTTCTGATCCAGAGAAAATCATACTCAAAAAACAATCAGACTCAAGCACTAATGGCATCATTTACCTCTTGAATATTTAAATACAGTTGTTGGCTACATAGTAAAGCATTCACTAAATTATAGTGTTATTTATATTTAAGAAAAAATTATTATGTTAGAATTAAAGAAAAATAAGTGTTGTTGCGACGTAAATCAAGGTAGGTAGAACTGCCCACAACCCAAATTTTATCTGAATCTTAAGGTGCCCTCTCATCACATATTCTGTAGATACATAGTCGCTTTCACAGCGCTCTCTGGCGCTCTGCGACGGCTAACCGCCACAGTACTCGGACCTCTCACTACCTGTCAGGGAGTTGGCACTCCCTCATTTCATTTAACCCCCCCCCCCTCTCTGTCGCCACCGTTTCACTGGGCGTTCCGTTCGTCTCCTCCCTGGAGGAACCCAATCAAGCATCTTCTTCAACAGCCCTTCCTCTGTCATCCTGTTAATATGTGCAACCAGACAAGCTGTTTAGTCATGACGTCGGACACAGTGTTATTTTCGACTTTCATGGAAGTCGAAAATACTGTAGATACTTAATTTACTTAATTGAAATGAATGTAGAATCGTCAGTAAATGGAGTTTCTTATTTTATTAATGTTCATTCAGAAGTGGGCGTGCAAACTTATTTGGTAACTACAAGATGCAGTTAAAGTTTTTAAATAAAATTAGCATGTTCGGAGCTGCCAGGTGCATCAGCTCTATAAATTTAATTTCGCACATCATTCAAAATTCTATACAACCATAATTTTTTTATCGAGTTTCAATTCGGTTGAGTTGCATCATTTATTATTTGATTTAATCTGATCTATTTTTTTCCTGTCTTTATTGTTAAGAACATCTTAATGGTTTGAAAATTATTTATTAATTTTTAGTTGTTTCCCCTTTCTTTTCCTCCTTTTATTTTATTTTGATTTATTTTATTATAATTTTTTTTGTCAGGGTCAGCATCCATCAATAGAAGTGAGCCGTCTTGGCCGGATATTGAGTCAAAGTTCCAGTGGTTGACAACGTCTTTGAGTGACTTAATTGATGCATTTAAAGGCTTAAAAGCCATGGTCTCTGCTATCGATACAAAAATAGACAAGCTCTGCATGAACTCAGAGGAGGAACACAAAATACAGACAGCTGTTGCTGTCTCAATCCCCGCCAAAAGCTTTTCTGAATTTGAAGTGCTTAACAACGCTGTTCAGTCAAGCAAGGCAGCAAAAATCCAGTTGGTACGTATCAGTATCTATTTAAAAGTATCACTTCAGCTCACATTTTCAATAAGTCCTACAAAGTTTTCAATTATTGCAGTTGCAAGTTAAAAAGTGTTATACTTCTATCGAATTCCTTGCTGAATGTCTGAGTCATTTCTGAAACCAAAAATAAAAAATTCCTATTTAATGTGTAGGGAACATTTCCCTAGAAAAATATTACTTCCTTTGACTTTCGCCAAGTTTTCATATTCAAGTATACATTTTCATGGAGACAGAAGCTCCCTATCATGGGCTTGTCTGAAATGTATTTATTACATTCACTCGTTGTTTCTTGATAGATTGTCACTGTGAGCTGTAGGCACTCACTTTACATGTTGGGTTTTCAGCAGCATTTTTTTGCCCCTTTGTTTTAATTAATAATTCTGTGCCTTAAAAAGTCCTTAAGAAGTTTAGAATGCTGAAACAGTAATTGCAAGGTTGTCTCAGTTCCTCTGAATTCCTGAAATTGTTCTATTTAAGTTTGATCTTTATACTTTTCTTCTTTAAATTTCAGGAAACAACTCTGAAAGCAGTCGCCGAGACCAAAGTCTCAAATACCATTCAAAACATGCTGCAAAAGATTTTTACTGATGAACTGGCGGTGTCTTTTTGCCTTGCCGGAAAAAGTTCCGAAAAGAAAGTGTTTGAAACCTATTTTCTCTATAATACTGTTCTGGGTAAGTGAATGTATTTTTTGTCTTTTTTCCTGTGTGATACTGGCCACTATGTTTTAATTGGTCCCCCTGGCCAGTGAGCATAGATTAGGCAAGTTGAATTATGACAGCTGAACATGGAAATTATGTATCCTAAGAGCAAAAATACCATACTGACGTGCTAAGGAAAAACTGTGTATGAACATTTGAAGATTGCCAGATTTCTAATGATGAAAGGTTCATTTTTGAGGAGCATCTTTCCCTGAAGTTCTCAGGTACCTAAGATTAAATTGCAAATAAAATCCTCTACAAACTTGGAAGACAAATATTCACAAGTTTCCCGAAAAATTCATATTTTATCAAGGACAATTTGGCAATGCCTGATGGCTCATACAACGTTCTTCTGTGGCACAGCAGCATAGAGGAGAGGACATTTTTTTGAACTTGCACTTACATCCTAACTCATCATTAGAATTAAAGTTATTGTGTAGAATGATCATAGTAACGTTCAACATTATATTTTGCAGAATGCACGAAGGCTGTATATCCAGCAGAACTGAAGGTGGAAACTGATGCCAGAGATTCAATGAGTACTTGGTTTACTCAAGCCAAACATAGAATCAAGAAAAGGTAAGTAATTTCTTCTGACAGTAAATCTTTCAGAGCAAGGGAATTTTTCTTCCTAGAGTGTGTTGTAATTTTAAGTCCCTGTCCAGTACCTACGTTTGAATGGATCAATTTTGAATGTTAGGCAAAATTTGGTTAGATTCGTCAAAAGTCCTAAACTGATCATTGTCTTAAATCTTACAGGCTTTACGAGAAATAGCAAAAGCAGTAGTCTAGAAGGCCAAATTTTAGGTTCTGCGATGTTTTCAACTCAAATTTCTTTATTTCTTCATGAATAAATGGTAACAGATTATAATTGGCAACCAGGAATTAAAGTAAAGAACCTAAAGAGAGAGAATGAAAAGATCCGCCTCCCTCCTCGTGCCATGAAATGAAATCATGGCTATGTGTCTGGCAAAAAGGAGGCACCTCCAGTGTTTGTAAAAAATGAGTTTGACCTTAGATCAATTTTAGGAAGAAAACCAAATCATATTTTAAACTTGTGAAATACCTATTGGAGATAATGTATATTAGAGACATACCCTCAAGGGTAAGAAAGCAGCCACTTTTGTGTTCCAATTTCCGTCTGCAGCAACGAAAATCATTTTTTGATTCCACCTGTTACTGGCTGATGACTTTCAGTGACGATCATTTTTCATCATAATTTTTCATGAAGTGCCGTGTCTTAACAGAAATGAACAACAACATCTACCAGCTTTCTTATTTCACCTGTTGTTGTCTGATGATGGTCTAAACATGAAATCTACGGAAATAAAAGTCTCCTCAACTTGCACACATGTGTGAGATAAGTAGAGGCCAGTCTTTACTATAAACTGTCTCTGAATGATTCAGAGGCTGAATGGGTCACAAGGGTAGTAAGATCGGCACTTTTTCATTGCTAAGGGGGACCAAGGTAATACCCCCTCAGTGGAAAGGTAAAGTGCTCTTTCGGCCAGCCTCTAGAGTTGAGATGTTTGAGGTTCTTTAGATCTTCTATGTGTTGCACAGCAGCTCCTCGTCTGAAGCAGTGCCCAACCAGTCTTCGAGTTCACGTGCAAATAATAGTCCTTTTGCGCAGGTGCTTCATCAGAGTCATACACCATGGGTAAAATTCTTTAAGCACTGCGCTATCTTTTTGAGACAATACAAATTGATTCAATGTCCTCCTACCAATCTCTCGCTTAATTTATCAACCTTTTCTTTTTTTTCCTCTCTCTCACTCTTTTTAGAAGAACCAAGACTTCATTCCCTTAATTGGTCTCTCTACCACTAACTTGCTAAATTTATCTCTAATTTTTTTCCTTATTGGAAAGAACTAAAACTACATTCATAAAAGTATCTGACAGAAAATAATTTTTAATTTTTCAGAAAAGAACGAGCGAGAAAGAAAGAAATGAGGTCTCTTGAAAAATTACCTCAAGCTGCATCAATTACTTTTGATTCAGCAGCACCAAAGACAACTGATACAGCAGCACCAAAGACAAGTGATGCAGCAGCACCAAAGACAAGTGATGCAGCAGCACCAAAGACAACTGTAGAGAAGGACAAACGGTTGGAGGAAGCAAAGGAAAATGATCCCATTGTTGTGAATTAGTTTGTTTCGTATGCAGTCCAATAAGTATGAGATTTTGAAAGTGTTCTTAGGTCAAGAGGAAGTACTTAACCTTTTGGGGCGGGGCCTCAGGCTTCTGGGCGGACCCCAAATCAAAATTTTCAGATTGACGGTGGCCAGACACTTTACCCAATTTTGTTTGGTCCAACAATTGTTTGGTCCGTTGCTGAAATTTGTCCAATAAAATTTTGGACCAATAGTTTTTTAACCAATAGTTAACTTAGTCCACGTTAGTTTTTGGTCCAAGGTAATATTTATTTTGTGGGAAAAATTAATTAATAATAAATTGTCTGTTCATGATGTGGCTAATCATCGCCGCCTTCCGAGTCTCATCCGCCCTTTGCTTGAGATTGTTAGCAATCGCCCGCAAGTAAGTACGGACATTGTTTTGCTGCTTGTATTCTTCGTAATTTCCAACTATCGTCTCAACGCGTCTTTGGTTTCGAACATACTTTGAATTTATCGGGTCTCTAAGATGTCCATGCCCTCCTAGTAGTTGTGTGACAGCTGCTTCTGTATCTTGTTGTTCTTTCTGCAGCTCGCCAATAAACCGCCAAATGTTTAAGTGATGTGCGACAACTATTCTTTGGAAGCGAGAATGGAATGATTCAACTTTGTTATTCGTTCGCGCTTGTCTATTTAACACAGATTGATACACATTCCAGGTAGGCGGTGGGTATCTCGGAGGAGTTGCTCGTCTTCGACCTCTCGCGGGGCGACCTCGAAGATAAGTTATAAACTACTAATATACTACTAAGTATAAACTACTAGTTCTTCCCTCTCACCTGGTGTATTTGTGACGCAGCGCGCGTTACAACTATCTTTCAAGTGACACTGCCAGTACGTTCGGGTTCCTGATTTATTTTTTGAGGGGACGGTATAAATAAAGCCATCCAAAACCAGCGCTTTCTTTTTCTTGGACGTGTTGATCAGTTCGCCGGGCATTTCAGAAAATTTAATTTTAAATTATAATTTTATTTAAAAAAATTTTAAGCTTCTAAAAAAGTCGCGAAAATTTTGAAGTAAAAATTGGATTTCACATGTAGACTTTAATTAAAAATTTTGGAGTTTGTCTTTGACTCATTTCTTACAGGTTATAATATTTTCTCGTCCTCAGCTTTCAAATTTTGCAATTGAAAAGTTTCCTTAGCAACGTCCGACAAGTCAGCTGTTACACGAGGAATGTATATAATGAATAATATTGTGGCTTACATAGAACGTGGATTAAAAAAGGGTGGGTTAAATATTTAATTGGATAATAAAATTTGGCCAAACTATACCTTGGATAAAATTTGTTGGCCCAATTAGGTATTGGGTAAAAGAAATTGGGTAAAGTGTCTAGCCACGAGATTGACAACTGACAACAAAAATGGGGGACAACCCCCATTTTTTACGGCATTTTCAGAGAGAAAATATAGAAGAAAATGTTTGAGCTGAAGTGTAGGGCTCTACGAATTTTCCTCGCCGAAATATTGGCGATCAAAGTTAAAAATTGGCCTGTTTTCAAAAAATTGTGTGTGCCAATTGAAAAATCCTAAGTAACGAAACTTGTGATTCAAATGTTCAGAATGACAAGCGTTCTCAAGGAAATGTGCGAATTTCGACTTTGCAGGTCGCAGGCCACCCCCTCCGGCTACTCCGTGGATCGCACTCCCCCCCCCCCCCCC